TGAGTACAGATTGTAGGGTGTCGACTCTCGGCGCCACTTCACGCAGCGTATGACTCAGCAAGGACTTCACGATTCTAATCAGCCGCTCCCAACAGCCACCAGCGCTGGGGTTGGACGGGCAATTAAATTTCCAATCTATATATCTATTTGCGGCCTCTGCTTGTATGCGGTCGATGTCAAATAGTTGTTCAGCGTTCAACTCCTTTTGGGCACCGATGAAATTCGTGCCGTTATCACTCCTGATTCTCACGGGGGTGCCGCGACGATTAATAAAATTCCGTAGGCACAGAATGAACGCATCCGTTGAGAGGTTTTCGGCTAACTCAATGTGCGCTGCCCTCACGGTCAAGCAGGTGAAGATGACACCACACCTTTTCTCCCTTCGTCGCCCTACTGTAACGTTAAACGGTCCAAATAAGTCAACGCCAGTATACGAAAATGGGCGGACATACGGGGTTAAGCGATCAGGTGGAAGTTGTCCCATCATTGTCGCGACGGGGCTGGCTTTATTTATTTTGCATTTTAAACAGTTTCGTTGTACCCTCTTTAAGAGTGTCTTTATGTGCGGAATCCAGAATCTCTGTCTTACGGCGTTGATTGTGACTGCCGTATTCTGGTGGTGGTTCTGTTCGTGGTAGTGTTGGACGATCAGTGCTGCGACAACATGATTTGACGGCAACAGAATCGGTCTGCGAGCGTCGAATGGTAGGCATGTTGCCTCGTCAATGCGACCGTTCAGTCGCAAGAGGCCGTCCTCGTCTAGATAGGGTGTAAGGCCATACACACCACTTTGCCGGGGTTACTTGCGTGATGAGGAAAGCTGTTCGATCTCGCTTGCGAAGCACTCTTGCTGTACCTGTTTGCTCGCTATACGCTCTGCCTGGTCGATTTCAGCAGCAGTTAAGGTCTTCGACGGATGTACGTCAACGGGCACCGATTTCCTCCGGAATAAAAGTTGGGCTCGTATGACCCAAGCGACAGTACGTTTCAGCTTTAAATATGAGTTAAATTTAGTAAAATCTATTAGAGTTTTACTTGCCTGACAATATAGTATATAACTCGTTTCAACTTCTTCCAGAAGTCCGCTGGAACGCTCGATAATGGTGGACGGCCAATGCTCTTCATCGTTCTTCAGGAAGTCTGGGCCTTTAATCCAGTGACAGTTTTTATCGAACCTAGGTGGATTTTGCGGCCGCGTAGCGGCATCTGCAGTGTTGATGTTTGTGGGTACCCAGCGCCACTGCTCAGGGGAAGTTGCACTTACAATCTCAGAGATTCGATGGCCCACGAAGGGTTTGTATTTTCTCTCTGAAGAGTGGACCCATTGTAAGACCGTTTGTGAGTCGCTCCAAAACAAAACGCGACTGATTTTAAATTCGTGATTGTGGACAAGCAGTTTACTTAGCCTTGTCCCTAGAACTGCGGCTTGCAGTTCAAGTCGTGGTATAGACAGAAGCCTCTTCGGCGCGGTGCGTGTTTTACCCATGACGAACGTTACGTCAACTGAACTGTCATACACCACTCGGAAATAGCCCACCGCTGCAAAGGCTGCCTGGCTGGCATCGGCGAAAATATGCAACTCAATTCTGCTGCTGTGCGAAATATTGGGTGAGTAGTATCTTGGTACTTGAAACTCTTTGATATTCGGGAACTCCTTCCACCAGCGGGACCATCTTGCAGCCAATTCAGCATCTAACTTCTCGTCCCATCCAATGCCTAGTCTCCAAGTATCTTGTATGATGATTTTCGTAGTTATCAAAAAGTTCGCTAGTAGCCCAAATGGGTCGAAGACTGCCATCACTATGCCCAGTAGTTCTCTTTTTGTCGGAGCGCGAATTCCCTCTAGCACTGGCTGAGGTACGCGATGGAATTTTGTATGGAACTCGAAAGTATCGTCTCTGGTATTCCAGTACATACCAAGTACTTTATCAGCCGTCTGGTTGCGTTCCATATTAATTACCTCCCTTGTCGTTAGAGGTGTTTTGTTCATGGCTTTCTCTATGTAGCCGCAATTAGAGATGAAGTTCCGCAATTCGAACCCGGCTTCCGAATTGATGGCAACTATCTGTTTGCAAATTTTGATTGCGTGCTCCGGCGTGTGAAAACTAGTCACCAGGTCATCGACATAGTGATTGTTTATAACAATGGAGGCTGCTTCGGGAAACTGAATTCTGAACCTTTCTGCGTTTTTGTTTTTAACATGCTCTGCGATGCAAGTCGAACAAACTGCCCCGAAGATCATCGACGTCATCATATATTCTTCGATCGGTTGATTGGAGTCTCCATCTCTCCACAAATATCGCTGAGCATGTTGGTCCATCGGTCGTACTTTAACCTGCGAAAATATCTCTCTTATATCCGCTGCTACGCCAATTTCGCCCTGGCGGAATTGCAATAGTATGCGTATGAGCGGCTGTGCCTGCTCGGGGCCCTTTAACAAGACTGAGTTCAGTGAAACCTTATTCACTGTAGCTGCGGCGTCGAAGACGATGCGGAGTTTGCTGGACTTGCTTGGGTTAAAGACAGCAAAATGAGGTAGATACCAGGCTTGTGCATATGGCGCGCTGATTTCCTGGCTGGTTAGCTTTCTGGCGTACCCTTTCGCCACGTATTTCGACATTTCTTGCTTGTAACGTAGAGCAAATTCTGCGTCTTGATGCATGCGCCTTTCTACCGACAGCAAGCGCCGTTCCGCCATTTCTCTGCTACTCGGAAAGTGTGGTGGAAACATTTTCCAAAGAAGCCCAGTTTCGTAACGCTTACCTATTATTCGCGTTGTTGCCTCCAATATTGATTTGGCGTGCTTATCGGCATCAGACTCAAGCTTGACTGATGCAGGATTAAAACCGTAGTTGTCCGTTGTGATGTAGTCCGAGACCAGTTGGTGCAGATGTTGCCATTCTCGCATGTGGAGTACTCGCAGACTTGACGTTGACGCAAGCTTAGTCGGACCATATGCCACCCAACCCAATGACGTTTTGGCAGCTAGCGGACTGCCTATGTCAACTTGTACTATGGTTGTGGTAACACCTAGATGTGCCTGATTCAGCCCAATGAGCAGGACAGGTTTCGTGCTGGGGTAATCTTGTAGCGGCAATTCTCGTAAATGTTCGAAGTCGTCTTTTGTAAAGGACTGTACTGGTAAATTTAGATTTTTCACCGTGCGCACATCTCTCAGCGTGAACCTCTTGTTGCTCGAGCAACCCGCGATCTCTAGACTTACTTTAAATGACTGCTCGGTCACCACTCTATCACCGTACCATTGCAGTGTGAGGGGATGACACTGCCCTTTAACACCAATCCTTTTGGCGACGGCTTCTTCCAGGATCGTTATTGCCGAACCTTCGTCGAACATTGCCAGGACTGCGAACTTACCATTAGGTCCGTAGATATTGACCGGTAGCATCTTAAACAACTGCTTAGTTGCTGCTTGCACAAGGCGACAGTTCAACAGTGGCTGAGTGTTTTCATCTTGTGTAATTTGCCGTGATGTATTTAGTCGGCTTTCGTCGTTGTGCAACAACTGATTGTGGTACCGCTGGCAGCTATTTATACCACACGATCTTTTGGAGCGACATTTCGATGTACTATGGCCTTTGCGCAGGCAGGAAAAGCACAACTGCCGGCTCTTAACAACTTCCCATCTCGCTTGAACCCAACGTCTTAAACTTATCGCACTTCGAGATTAAATGATCGCCGCCGCACTGAGAACATGCCACCGTCTCTGTTGGTCTTTCGTCCTGGATGTGCATTACATGCCGTGGATTGCTCGCAGATGTATTCTGCTTCTGACTGTGTGCACTGCTTGTCGGCATTAAACACACAACTCTTGCTAGCTCACTAAGCCACTTCGAAAAATCCTCGATGGTCGGGTATGGTTTAATGTCAACAGCGTGCTTTGCCCAGTCAAACTGCTTGTTTTGTGGCAACTTACAAATCATTTGCTCTAAAAGCGAGATGTTTGCTAAATGTTGCTGGCACTTTGCCGATTTCAAAAATGCAACTACGTTGCGCACCCTAGTAGAAAAAGGTACTATTTGTTCAGGTTTGTGCTCGGGTATTGTCGGAAATTGTTGCAATTTATTTAACTGCCATTTTACCAAGATGTCGGGTCTACCGAATCTGAACTGCAGTTCGTTTAGCACGTTCGGCACATCCTCGGGGTAAATAAGTAGTGAAGCTACCGCTTCTTTGGCCGCCCCAACCAGGCACTTCTGCAGGCGCATAAGATTTTGTCGGTGGCTATACCTAAATACTTCTGTTGTGTCGTTAAAGTTGGCGAAGAAGAGGGGCCACTCTTCTGCATTGCTCCCAAATGTTGGCAAATCATACAACTTCACCTGCGAATCGGTCGCTGGCACGACCATTTGGCTTGATTCGCCCTGTGCTGGCTGCAATGTTGCACTTTGCCCAATTTCGTTTGGCGGCTGCATGCCCTCGCGCAATCGTATAATATCACGTTGGCTTTCCATCGTGCTATTTCGCAGTTCTTCGACGGATGCCCTCAATGCATTTAAAGTAACGATAATGGCGTTCATGTGGTCCCCGCCGGCCGAGGTTGACTGCCTTGACTCCTCCATTATCGTGCTCTCGAATGACGATTCGCTTTCGGTGCTGTGTGCCCTGTCCACTACTCGACTTCGCAGAAAATACCTGTCGGGCTCCGACATTCACTAGTGGTTAACCTCTTTGCACGTCCCAATTTATGTACGTGATTCGTCTTACCAATAAATTGTTGTATGCCCAGGCAGACGTACCAGATAATTTTAAAAACTTTGTAACTATTGGATGAAAAGGCAATTCACTGGTTTTAATTGTATAAGATTTATTGATATATAAGAAATCGTTTGCTGATACAAGTTCGCTTGAAAATTGTTGGTTAGTTGTTTCGTTGGTTTTAAAATTGTATTTTGCTGGTACGTCTGCTTTCCTTAACGCGCTGAATCAAAAAAGGCCAAATTTTTGTAAGTATCTACATATGTCAAAAAATCAATGATGGCCGCTTAGCTGTCAAGGTTGGCAATTGTGAACCGGTTTAGTGACAGGGTACCCAACAACGGTTTTCTAAAGTTTTTTGTGAAAAAAGAGCGCAAGGCAACCCAGGTTTACAACAGAAATTAAATAATAATAAAAAAAACTAATAATAACCAACACAATCAAAAATATTAATAGTAATAATAATAATAATAGTAACAATAATAATAAAAATAAAATTAATAAATACAAAACTAAACTAAATAGAAATGTTAAAGGTTTTATGTAAATCAAACTTAAAAATATGTCAATAAATGTGTAGTGTATAAAATATATATAAATAAAAATGTTAATAAATTTTTAGATAAAAAACAGTTAAAAATTTTACAAATAAAAATGTATACATATATAGATGATATAATGCCATCAATGATAAAATGAAGTAATTAAATATTTTTGACAAATATGAAAATAACAATTAATAAGAAAAAACATAATTAATAAGTACTAACTTTCGTATCGTTACCGTAATATAGAAAGGCTCTACCTAACAAATTTTGTTCCTTTACGGAGTAGCTTTAAAAAAACTAAATATCTTCAGTTGAGATTTTTTTCAATACACTGGTTTTAATAAACACAGAAACTAGATTTTTGATGTACGTAGTAGATGCTTTTAAAATCGATTAAGTCTTTTGTGAGTAATCTACCGACTTTGCATAGAGCTGAAATTCAAAATAATATGAGTTAGGGCCTCTCAATATGATGAACATTACCATTACTATTATTATATGCTTTTAAGAAATAACTATAGTTTATAGTTTAGAAATAAAAATATTTTTATGAAAAATGGTAATGGTAAACATTTAATGTAAAAACTACAGAATTTGAAGTAGATTAAACAATAGAACACATCAAATAAAAGTGTTAAAGAAACGAGTGAAAATTGTATTAAATACAAGCAAACGATGAAATAAAATTTATAAAAAAGTAATGGGAATAGGTTTTTATATTTTATATAAGGTTTTCTTATTTTACATGACCATTAAATGGTCTATTGTCATTAGACCAAAGAATGATCCAAGGTAATTAGTCTAAAATATGGTCTAATCAGATGAGAATACAACATGATCTAGTGCAACCACCAGATATAATAGTCCAGTAGGTACACTTTAAGAAGTGGTCTAGTGTAAGCAGTCGCGTCGATGGACCAAAAGGTGTGGTTACGTATGTGGTCCAGTGTAAGCAGTCGCGTCGATGGTCCAAAAGGTGTGGTTACGTAGGTGGTCCAGTGTTATGCTGCGTTGGACCACAGGTGGTCAGGTCCAATGACATCGCAATGTTAATGTAACCATATTTTTTTCATATATTTGGACCATTTCGGTTACTAGTGTTGGTTACGTCGTAGTGTGGTCCTGTACTAGAGTTTAATCTAGTCCCGCGTGCGTGAATATTAGGTTAGCCTGTAAAGGGCAGTGTGAAAAATCTGATGTAGAGCGTGTGTGAATCGGTAACAAAGTTCGCGGCAAGTAAATTTTTGACAAGTTTGAGGTGAATAAAATTTCAGTAGCCCATAGGGCTAGTGAAATTTTTGACAAATGCATAGAAAATTTTGACAATTGCAAAGATTGCTGCTGTGTGTAATTTTTCGTAAAATAAAAGGTTAAGTTGATGAACTGCAATCAATGATGGTAGATGTTTTCTTAAAATATTAATTTCACTCAATTTGTAATAGTTTATTGCGCATAAATCTGCGGTTATGAAAAATTTACTGCTGTCAAAAAAGATTTTATTTCACACAGCAGATTGGCAAAACTGTCTCACCATAGTAAAAATATTATTCAACAGCTTTCCCCATAGAACTTTGCTACCGATTCACACACGCCCGTAAACATTTGTGTTCCGTCTTCCTCCGACTTATCCCAGCAAACATTTGGAGTCATAAATGAGTCTTTAAGGAGTCCTATTTTGGAGCTATTACGCTCATAATGAGCTCATTTAAGAGTCCGATATGAGTGTGTTTCCCTTCCTACGAATGTCGACTTATATGAGCTTAAATTCATACATCAAATGAGCCTCAATATGAGTCATATTGGACTCTTATTGGCCTCATATACGGCTCATTTTGGACTCTTTTAAAACAAGTTTTGGCCTCATATATGACTCTTTTTGAGACCCTTATCGGCCTCATAAATTGCTACATTCGGACTCTTATTTTAGGTTGCTCTTTTAGTCTTATTCAACTCACTATATTTGCAAAGGCATTCCGCAAAAAGTCCTTGCAAATAACATACATACATACTTACATGCATATACACATTCCAACATGCATTCAATAGCAGCAGCTGAAGCTAAATTTTGTTCATTTTTTGTTTTCTAATTATTTTCAATTTCTGTATAAACAAGTTTAGATATAAATTTCAAATCTTTATTGTTTTTATATTGGCACAAGGTGCTGGCTCATAACTTGGCTCATATATGAATCCTAAAAGATTCATATAAGAGTAAAACATTTTTTTTTTTGAAACTCATATTTCTTACCCAAGAATGATAGAATACAAGATTGCGCCGATCAGAGAGGATTTTTGAGAATAACTTTTGTGTGACGTCACACTGGTGCAATTGCGAGAGAGAAATGCCAAAACGTGAGCAAGAATGGAGGTAGAAGAAAAAATGTTGCAAGGAAAACGTAAACAAGTTGCACAAGTGTGACGTCATGCAAACAACGATTCTGTCAAATTCGTTAAGAGAGGAATAGCGGTCCGAGATCGGCGCAACCTCTGTATTCTCTCAATCGTGTTTTTACCTACCTAGGACACCTTTCGGACTCATATATTCTGAACGCTCAGAATATGTTTGCGGGGATGGCATTATTTAGTTGTCTCTTTTTAACCAACGCAAAGTTTGTAAATGTTTACCCAGAAAACATTTGGAGTCACAAATGAGTCTTTAAGGAGTCCTATTTCGGAGCCATTACGCTCATAATGAGCTCATTTAAGAGGCCGATATGAGGGTGTATCCCTTCCTCCCAATGTCGACTTATATGAGCTTAAATTCATATATCAAATGAGCCTCAATATGAGCCATATTGGACTCTTGTTGGCCTCATATACGGCTCATTTTGGACTCTTTTAAAACCATTTTTGGCCTCATATAGGAATCATTTCAGACTCTTTTTCAGACTTACCGGCCTCATAAATTACTACAATCGGACTCTTATTTTACGTTATTCTTTGAGTCTTATGGAACTCACTATAGCTTAGTATCCAGCTCTTAAGAAAAGCAAAAACTCCATATAAAATGACGTACAAGAAATGGCTAAGAAATTTTCTTGAGTCAAATTTCCTTAAGGCAGTACGCAATTCTTCAGAAATTTAGTACGCTTTCTACTACGATTTTCTAAAGTTTTTTGTGAAAAAAGAGCACAAGGCAACC